TAAGAAGAAAAAAGAGAAGATGTAAACTGGAAAGAGAGAGACGATTCCTATAGAGACAAAGGCAAAAAGTCACAGAGCTGCTAAGAGGGGCCAGTGGTTAATGAAACTGCAAATATCGAACTTAAGATCAATTAATCTTACAGGAGACAACAATTGCAGGAAGAACTAAAAGCCATAAAGGAAATTAAAAAAAAGCAAAGTACATCTTCCATTATGCCAAATCTAAGGGAAAAACAACATCCAGTATTGTGCCCCTGCTTAGGCGAAATGAGACATACACAGATGACAGCCAAGAAATGAATGAGATACTGAAATCCCAGTATGACTCAGTGTTTGTGAGCCGCTGCCCAGACTAACGGTCGACAATCCTAACGAATTCTTTATGAACGAGACCCAAAATTTGGTCATCTCATAAAATCTCGGATATTAACCTAACACCACAAGACTTTGAAAAGGCAATAAATGACATGCCCTTACACTCTGCACCAGGCCCAGGCCAGGCTCATGGAACCCGTGTTCATCAAGAACTGCAAGAAGCCTCTGTCGCCTGCAAACCAGTTTGCAGGTGCAGTCCTCCCTGGTCTTCCAGCACCCAGCCAATTTTGGAGGATATCCTAGCTATGACACACCTCCCTCATGAAGTCCCTTGATTTCTTGAAGTTCTCAACAGTACTCTCTCTGCAATAGCAGTAGACAGTGAGCCAATGGGTTTAACATTACTTATCTATCACCATATTCCTTGCGATAAAGACACTAAAGCATAAAGAATCTTCACTGAAGAACTCGTTACTAAGTTGTTCCATGATGGAGTTACTGAAGATTCCACTTCTCTGTGGAATACTCTGCTCATGGGACATAGCCTCCTGCAACTGATTACAGGAAATTAGATTCATGTATGATCCAGATAGTTTCTCACTGACAATACTGAATGACCTATGGTAAAACACTGGCAATAAAAAATAAAATCTACATTTGACCTCTTACAGGGGTTTTGGCAAATTCTTCTTGAAGACCTAAATAAAGAATTGACAGCATTCCCTATTCCTACTGGTCAGTATCAGTTCAATAGAATGCCTTTTGGAATAAGGAGCAGCCCAATAACATTTGGTCTACCTAAGTAATGTTACTGTGATGTCTCAGGATGTACCTATGCATCTCATAAAACTTGAATGGATAAGGGAAAAATTACCAGAGGCTGAACTCAAAGTCAATCTCTCCAAATGTCATTTTCTTAAGAAATGAAGTTTCTGGGACATATAGTGACTTAGAACAGCCTAAAGATAGACGAGCCCGAACTCGCTGCTGTTTAGAAATTCTCTAGACCTATGACAGCAGATGCTTTTCACTTCATCATTGGCTTAGAAAGATTCTACCGCACCTTCGTAGCCAAAGTTTCCACAAAATGTCGTTCCAGGTGCCTTGTAGAGATATTGCTTTTGTTAATACAGACAACTCATTCTCCATCGAGAATCTAAAGACAGCTGAACATCAAGACCCTGTGTGGTCACCAGTCCTTCAATTCCTGACCAGGGAGGCTGCTGACCTGCAGGTTTTAAAGCGCCTGTACTGCTGAGGGACTTACGTGTCAGGCAAGGAGTACTGTGCCAGGTGGCACAGCACTCCTTGCCTGACACTTAAGTCAGGCAGCTGGTGAACAGTTCTGCCAGGAACTGGCAGAACTGTTCACCAGCTGGTGATCCCAGAACCCCTAGTACTTGCAACTCTGAAGATGATTCACGACATCCAAGATGCAGTGCATGTCTGTCTGACTGCAGTGTTAGATGGGCAAGAATGAAATACTTCTGGCTTAAGATGGCAGTGGAAATTGCAAAAAAAAAAATGTACTTAAGTGTGTTGTCTACCTCCAGCACAAAGGTACTGTCACCTGTCCTCCTCATATTCTCTAGTATCTCATTACAAAGCAACCATGGGAGAGAACTTCTGTCGACCTGTAATAAACACCTGCCTGTGATGGTGGATAACTTGACACGGTACTGTGAGCAGTACCCATTCCTAACAAAACCACCGAGACAGTTGCTAATGCTTTCGTTTCCTGTTAGTCAATGGGTCGGAGTTCATCAATGCCACAATGCAGGATCTTTGCTCTAGATTTGATATACATAAAATGCCAGGAGCTCCACGCCATCCTGCTGAACATACAAATCACAAAACTCTAGAGGTGCTCAGAGTGACCATCAATCCGAGTTGTACCACATGGGACGAGGTCATTCCAGATGTGTAGAGTACTCTAAACTCGCACAACAGCACGATTAGAGAGACACCCCTCTCTGCATTGTAAGGCTATGACAAGCATTTGCGATATTAATTTTTTCTTACCCCACCTCAGTCCGCATCTCGTTGACACTTACATTGTCAGCGTCAACAAGATGTGGACTCCACAGCTTGTCTCTCAGAGAGTACGAGAAAATCTCAAGAAAGCAACTCAAAAGTTTACGTCTAATCGTAACGCTAATGCTGAGGAGAGTAAAGTTGTATCAGGTTGCAAGGTAATGTTGCAAAACCCTACATAACACCCCATATATGCATAAGCTAGTTCCCTAATTTGTTGGTCCTTACCGTGTCCTCAGACAGCTCCATGGCAACAAGTTCGAGGTGAGGGAGAATGGAACGATTAAGGAAATTCATCGTGACTACATGAAATACACTGACAATGTGCAAGCCGAAACTGTCCAATCACATACCTATGATCTGAGACCCAGGACAGCAGTACTAGTACATTTCTTTGACATTGAGAAGCCTGTCGACCTATCCAACTCCTGCTCTGACTACACTGTCTTCTGGCTGCACTGGGCATCAATGCTCATACGCATTATAACTAGTTAAAACCTCATGTAACGGAGTCAGGGTGGACTATGTATATATGTAAAGGAAGCATGTTTTGTGTAAAGATACCTATAAATAGCTATAATATTTTCCAGTAAAGTAGCTGCAAGTTTTTCACATGCAGTGTGTATTAGATGGTCTATATTATAGGTCAGGGCAGTGCCTCCCTTTCATGTCATATTGCTTGCAGATGTATGGATGGAAAAACGTTTCTTAACGTGCAGACAGTGCCTGACACCCGGTGCACCCCTGTGAACCTGTACATAAGAATTATGTTCCAATTCTGTCCTGACGTCCCATGGCCCCATCCAGTATTAAGCAGAATAGCATGTTTTTTCTCTCCCATATAAAATGTAGAAAGTTTTTCGAGGATTTCTAATTTTTTGTTGTTGTTGGTATCAGGGTATGCAAAAAGCCAAGTTCTATGAGTGTATTTAATTTTTTTCTGTCTTGAACACCATTACTGTCACGTCGGGGCTACCCGAGATGTGTGGCAGAGCAAAATGTAGACAGTATGTCTACCCACCTGCTTCACATGCTTCCCACTAAAGTGAGTTACTGGCTTAGGCCTAGTTTCACGAGTGACCGGTAGATGGCAGTCCCCCCTAGGTCTAACCTCACGGCCTGTTCTCGTTCTCACTTTGTACCCATCTGACCTTCCATCAAGACCTACCTACAGACCCCTAACACGTCCTGCCTGTATACCCATTTACAGAATAAATCCACGCCAGTCTACGCCACTTAATTAGCCTTCCATGCTACTTATTCTACCAGAAGATACGACACATCAGTGGTTTTACACTTGCTGCTATTATAGAATCTTACCTTCCAAGATAATGGACGCTTACATACTTAAAATTAATTGCAGTATTTTCATGTTGCTTGGGTAAAAAAATAAGTTAATCTGCTGCTGTTATAAGTGACCTGCTGCTATTAAAGAGGCCCATTTGCTGGTATTATTGACTCTCACCTGGTCAGTAGAGACGTTTAAATAAGGTCCAGTCACTGTGAGAATTCTGAACTTGACGTTCTCGCCAGGCTCGTAGAGGTACTTGTCAGTCTGGATGAAGGTAACCTGGTTGGAGCTCTTCAAAGATATACTCACTGTACGACTGATGTTAACACCAGCCACACTGCCAAAGATGTGCAGGTGACCGTAGTAATATGTCGAACTTGGCACTGCGACTTCATAGCACTTCTCAGTCTTCCCTGAAATTAATAAATTAGATAAATTAGAGTCACTCGAACTCTCAGTATTCTACAAAATTATCTATATTTCTTCTCCGTACTCAGCATCTACATTTCATCTTGTTCTTGATTTCTTATTTTGTGGATTAGTTTTCCTGATGTAAGTGTGTATGTAGTAACATTAATTTAGACTATAGGTGTCAAACCTGACAAACTATCTTTCCTTCCTTTCAGTTTCTAAATATTTTAGAAAACACTATCAATTTTTCTACAGTTATACCTTAAACAAATAATCCATATTTTATTTACGTTACATAACTAATGATTTTGTGGATTTACTGTATTTGTAATTTTGTTTAGTGCACTAAAGACCAACTTATTTGTTGGTAAACTCTGTTACTTGTTAAGTTTGTTAACAGAGATGTTACCATGAACACAATGTGTATTATATTTAAGCACTGGAGACGGACTAAATTAATACATATAACTTGCCTGAAGACACTCAAATTTCAAGAGACTGTAAAAACCTGAATTGAGTGGTTATAAATATGGCACAGCAGCTGTATGAGCATGAGAGGAATACAAATTGACTTTTATACCTCCCTTGAAATCAAAGTTTTTGAGACTAGCTGTTAGACAAACTAGCACTGTGGAAGCCACTAACCTGGCTTCTCAGAATATGAAATTCATGCGTGCATATACGAGAATTTCAAAATTAATTATTGTACTTGCCTGTGAATGAAGTTGAAAGTTCTCAACTAACCATCTTGATCCACTAACCTCCAGGAATCAGGATAGAAGTGTTCGGAACAACGGTGACGTTCCGATCTGCATCAACTTGTTGCCAGTCATAAGCCGTCACAGCGAAGGTCAGCTTACCTTCTGGAGCAGAAGGGTTGTCCACGTAGACACATACCTGGGCAGGAGCTCCTGACACCCACTGTCTTGGCGTGGTGATTATGTAGCCCCTGCGAGAGTTATGGTTAATTTTATTAGAATTAAATTAACACTCACACACACACAAACAGGGATGTTAGTATTTCTTCATAGAGCTTTTAGGAAGTGGAACAATCTGGGAAGTGATGTAGTGTGATCAAGACCCATATATAGCTACAAGGTTAGGTAGAGATTTGCCGGTACTTCCGGCCCGGGTCTTCTACAGATGGTGACCCTGCGTATAGCTACAAGAAAATATACGATATAGCTAATGGAGCAGAGAAAGGGTGGAGCTAGTATTGACCAGTAAAGAGGCGGGGCCAGAAACTACGACTCGACCCCTGCAACCACAAATTGGTGAGTACTCATAAACACACACACACACACACACACACACACACACACACACACACACACACACACACACACACTCAGAGCACTGAGTACTGACGGTACTGATTACTGAGTACTCAGAGGCGCTATGTGTACCACTAACAACAATCTTCAACACATCTATCGAAACAGGACGACTAGTCCCAATATTTAAAAAAGGACATAGACACGAAGTATTAAACTACAGAGCAGTGTCACTGACATGTATGGTATGCAAAGTTATGGAGAAGATTATAAGGAGAAGAGTGGTGGAGCACATAGAAAGGAATGAGCTTATCAACAAGAGCCAACATGGTTTCAGGGACGGGAAATCCTGTGTCACAAACCAACTAGAGTTACATGACAGGGTGACAGCAGTAAGACAAGAGAGAGACGAGTGGGTAGATTGCGTTTCCTCGGGCTGTCAGAAGGCGTTTGACACACAAGAAAGCAGTGCAAACGCTGGAAGATCAGACAGGGATAACAGGGAAGGTACTGCAATGGATTAGGGAATACATGTGAGGAAGATAACAGCGAGTCATGGTACGTAGCGAGGTGTCAAAGTGGGCGCCTGTGGCGAGCGGAGTTCCACAGAGGTCAGTCCTAGGACCGGTGCTGTTTCTGGTGTTTGTGGACGACATGACGGAAGGAATAGACTCAGAAGTGTTCCTGTTTGAAGATGATGGGAAGTTGATGAGAAGAATTCAGTAGCACGAGGATCAAGCAGAACTACAAAGGGATCTGGACAGGCTGCAGGACTGGACCAGCAACTGGCTCCTGGAGTTCAACCCCACCAAGTGCAAAGTCATGAAGATTGGGGAAGGGCAAGGAAGACCGCAGACGGAGTACAGTCTATGGAGCCAGAGACTACAAACCTCACTCAAGGAAAAGGATCTTGGGGTGAGTATAACACTGGGCACATCTCCTGAGGCGCACATCAGCCAAATAACTGCTGCAGCATACGGGCGACTGGCAAACCTAAGAACAGCATTCCGACATCCCAAATAGGAATAATTCAGGAAACTGTACACCGTGCACGTTAGGCCTATATCGGAGTATGCAGCAGCAGTTTGAAACCCACACCTAGCCAAGCACATAAGGAAACTAGAGAAAATGCAAAGGTTTGCAACAAGAGTAGTCCCGGAGCTAAAAGGCATGTCCTACGAGGAGAGGCTAAGGGAAATCAACCTGATGACACTGGAGGACAGGAGATATAGTGGGGATATGATAAAGACATAAATTACTGAGAGGAATCGACAAGGTGGACAGAGGCAGGATGTTCCAGAGATGGGACACAGTGAATATTAAAATTGAATAAAATACCGATAGGTTGCTAGATAAGACACATATGCAACAGTTAGGTATCTTTATTTCGAAACGTTTCGCCTACATAGTAGGCTTCTTTAGAAAAATTGATAGAAGAGACGTGAAAAGCATGTAATCAGTCCATCACCCTTGATGTTTTGAGGTGGTCAGTCCCTCAGTCTGGAGAAGAGTATTGTTCCATAGTCTGAAACAACATGGGATTGAAGTGACAAGATGGAGCCTTATATACCGCCAGGAGGTGAGATGTAGGCCACTAGTAGAAGTAAGAATGTGGTCGTTGGGAGGTCACGTCCCTCTCAAATCCAGCCATTCTCACTAGGACAACTTCTACTGGTGAGAATGGGACACAGTAACAAGGGGCCACAGTTGGAAGTTGAAGATAAATCACGGGGATGTTTGGCAGCATTTCTTCAGTCACAAAGTTGACAGGAAGTGGAATAGACTGGGAAGTGATGTAGTGGAGGCAGGATACATACATAGCTGCTCATAGAGCAGGAAGAGTGATCTAGAGTGATTTAGTAGTGACCAGTCAAGAGGAGCTGTGATCCGACCCCTGCAGCCACAACTAGGTGAGTACAACAAGGAGAACACACATACATACACACACACACACACACACACACACACACACACACACACACACACACACACACACACACACACACACACACACACACAACAAGGTTTCAGGGACGGGAAATCCTGTGTCACAAACCTATTGGAGTTCTATGACATGGTGACAGCAGTAAGACAAGAGAGAGAGGGGTGGGTGGATTGCATTTTCTTGGACTGCAAGAAGGCGTTTGACACAGTTCCACACAAGAGATTAGCGCAAAAACTGGAGGACCAAGCAGGGATAACAGGGAAGGCACTACAATTGATCAGGGAATACTTGTCAGGAAGACAACAGCGAGTCATGGTACGTGGCGAGGTGTCAAAGTGGGCGCCTGTGACCAGCGGGGTCCCACAGGGGTCAGTCCTAGGAACAGTGCTGTTTCTGGTATTTGTGAACGACGTGACGGAAGGAATAGACTCCGAGGTGTTCCTGTTTATACATGACATGAAGTTGATGAGAAGAATTTATTCGATCGAAGACCAGGCAGAACTACAAAGAGATCTGGACAGGCTGAAGACCTGGTCCAGCAATTGGCTCCTGGAGTTCAACCCCAGCAAGTGCAAAGTCATGAAGATTGGGGAAGGGCAAAGAAAACCGCAGACGGAGTACAGTCTAGGGGCCAGAAACTATAAACCTCACTCAAGGAAAAAGATCTTGGGGTGAGTATAACACCAGGAACATCTCCTGAAGCGCACATGAACCAAATAACTGCTGCAGCATATGGGCGCCAAGGAAACCTCAGAACAGCATTCCGATATCTTAATAACTAATCGTTCAGGACCCTGTACACCGTGTACGTTAGGCCCATTTTGGAGTATGCGGCACCAGTTTGGAACCCACACCTAGCCAAGCACGTAGAGAAACTAGAGAAAGTGCAAAGGTTTGCAACAAGACTAGTCCCAGAGCTAAGAGGTATGTCCTATGAGGAGAGCTTAAGGGAAATCGACCTGACGACACTGGAGGACAGGAGAGATAGGGGGGGACATGATAACGACATACAAAATACTGAGAGGAATTGACAAGGTGGGCAAAGACAGGATGTTCCAGAGATGGGACACAGCAACAAGGAGACACAGTTGAAAGTTAAAGACACAGATGAATTACAGGGATGTTAGGAAGTATTTCTTCAGCCACAGAGTAGTCAGGAAGTGGAATAGTTTGGGAAGCAATGTAGTGGAGGCAGGATCCATACATAGCTTTAAGCAGAGGTATGATAATGCTCACAATTCAGGGAGAGTGACCTGGTAGCGACCAGTGAAGAGGCGGGGCCAGGAGCTCGGACTCGACCCCTGCAACCTCAACTAGGTGAGTACAACTAGGTGAGAACACACACACACACACACACACACACACACACACACACACACACACACACACACACACACACACACACACACACACACACACACACACACACACACACACACAGGAAGTTGAAGGGAAGACTTATGAAGCAAGAAGACAGGAGGAGAAAAAAAGCGATTGAAAGTATCATGAGAGCAATAGAAGAGGATGACACGACCCAGTTGACTAATTTTCTGAGAATTGGTTGGTTTGCAAGAGAAACCATCCCATACCCCGGCCGGGATTGAGCCCGCGGTCATAGAGTCTCAAAACTCCAGCCCGTCGCGTTAGCCACTAGACCAGCTAGCCACAATAAGATTCATCCAACTAGGTATATTTCTACACCATAGGAAGGTTAGCACAGGCACCACTGTGACCACAAATGCAAGTTTTTACAGACGAATCTCCAGCTAGCGTGGCCGTGACGAACTCTAGCTCAAGTCCCTTCACTGCCGTCAACATGACTCACGAAATCGTAATGACACGATTGCAAACAAACCATACCACGGCCGGGATTGAACCCGCGGTTATAGAGTCTCAAAACTCCAGCCCGTCGCGTTAGCCACTAGACCAGCTAGCCACAATAAGATTCATCCAACTAGGTATATTTCTACACCATAGGAAGGTTAGCACAGGCACCACTGTGACCACAAATGCAAGTTTTTACAGACGAATCTCCAGCTAGCGTGGCCGTGACGAACTCTAGCTCAAGTCCCTTCACTGCCGTCAACATGACTCACGAAATCGTAATGACACGATTGCAAACAAACCATACCCCGGCCGGGATTGAACCCGCGGTCATAGAGTCTCAAAACTCCAGCCCGTCGCGTTAGCCACTAGACCAGCTAGCCACAATAAGATTCATCCAACTAGGTATATTTCTACACCATAGGAAGGTTAGCACAGGCACCACTGTGACCACAAATGCAAGTTTTTACAGACGAATCTCCAGCTAGCGTGGCCGTGACGAACTCTAGCTCAAGTCCCTTCACTGCCGTCAACATGACTCACGAAATCGTAATGACACGATTGCAAACAAACCATACCCCGGCCGGGATTGAACCCGCGGTCATAGAGTCTCAAAACTCCAGCCCGTCGCGTTAGCTGGAGTTTTGAGACTCTTTGACCGCGGGTTCAATCCGGCCGGGGTATGGTTTGTTTGCAATCATGTCATTACGATTTCGTGAGTCGTTTGCAAGAGGTAAAAACGTCTAGTAAAAGTGATCTTCAAGGCTGAATCAGTTCGAAACAGGATCCTGCAGGAGAAAGCTTGACTAAAGGACATACCGAAGTACAAGAGGGTATACCTCGACTGCAAGAGAATACATGAAAAAGGCAGAAACTGAAAGAGAGAGTACAAAGATGCAAGGAAGA